CTCTGGGATTCTTTAGACTGGTGGAAATTTTCTGCCCATAAGAACAAGTAATCTCTACTTTTCTTATATATAACTCAAAAACTAACAACATAAAAGCAAAATCTCAAATTATAGTACTGGCAGTAAAAATTTTGACTGCCTGCAATTGGAAAGCCAACGTGGTGGAGGACGAGGTTGTCATTTAGTTATACCAAGTATAATTTTTTTGAGGGCATTTGAAGTAGCGTGGGGACATTTCCTACTGATGATCGATCACAACCCGCATAGAAAAGGCAACTTAAAAAGTATGAGGGACCTGTATCTTATGTATGAAGATTACTATTGTACAACTACAATTAAAAAAAATCTCTGTATTGAACACTTATTGAAAACCAATAAAAATGAAGACACAAAAAAATAAATAAGAAGAAGGGATTAACTAAAAAGATTATTCATTTAATAAAAAAAAATGTCAAAGTGACATGAGTGCTTTATTAAAGGAACACTATAGCAATAGGGACACAAGCATGTTATCCTAATGCTAGAGTGTTAGCCTACATATTTGGATTCCTCCCCAGAACAATTTTTTTAAAACAATGTTTTATTTACTTGTAGTGCCCTGGTGCACCACCACACCTCAGAGTCATGGATGAGGTTTTCCCTGCTTGGGAAGCAGGGTAAATTAGTGAAGACCATCGGAGGAGTGCAAGCCGATAGGAAGTGAGTGATAGAGAAGTGTAACCATCACCTCTGAAAGGAGATTGCAGTGGGGTAGTGGTGGATTAAGTAAATGCCTTACAGGCTCCTTTAAACTGTAGTGATTCTGGTGCCTAAAGTGTACCTTTAATTATAGCATTAGCCCTGGTTATTATTAATTATTACAGTGCATGAATGCTTAGGGAATTTCCCATGACACTCCTTAATGGTTGTCTATGTATCTGTGATGAACTGGATTCATCATGGGTTCTTGGAGTGGCATACTTGCCAGCTTCCTGCCCTGTGACTATGGCCCCTGTGTTAAATCCTAGTTAAAACCACTGTGTGTGCCTTTTTTTACCTGTATGGCCACAATTTGAACTTTCGAAGTGGCACTTCGAACTCGCGAACTCCTGAAGCCATTTGAAGTGCCATTTGACCATGAGGTGGCGGCCATCTTGTTCGCATGAGCCAAAACCGCGAATAGTCTTCAGCGGCACTTAGCCGCGATGCTATAAAACTATTTTCGGCTATGGGACCATGCCTGCGGTCGGTAAAAAATATGACTTCAATAAAATTTCTGAACCCCTAATCTGATCTGGGTGATTTTTGGATATGTTGGTCACCCAAATCAGGGCTATCAGGGGATGTAAGATTTGTGGGGATATTGTGTGTTTTGGGGTTTTGTAAAATATATGTTCTTTTTCACTTGGAGATAATTGAGTTGATACAGTAATTAACTCAATTATCTCCCAGGCAGAGGGGTGGGATTGTATGATTGTATGTGTTGGAGAGCCTTAGATTGTAACTCTAATGTTATTGATTTACAAGTTTGTGTCCCTGTCCCCAACAAGGTCCATGTGGGCGTACAATTTGCTTGGGGATTGTCATAAAAGGCCAGTGTGGCACCATTAAAATTGAGTTCCTGCTTAACCCTCAACACGTAGCCTGGTCTCGTGATTGTAGGGAACCTGCTATACAGCTATACCACTAGCTTTTGTAAGAGCTTCACAGCTATACTCTCTTGGAGGAGAGGACTTCCCACGGAGTCCCTGGATCGAGGAGTTTGGTCTACGACGGGAAGGGACAGCGAGACCCCCAACCAAGCTGCGGCAGTTTGTGGGGTCTACTGTGCTTATTTAGCTCGGTGCGGTGCTTATGGTCCTCAGCGTCAGCTAGGAAGCATCGATTGGTGTAGGTACCCAGTCGGGGTGCCAGGCGGTCTGTCACGGTATCCAAGGAACAGTAATCCACAAACATCTTCAGGGGCATGGTTGGTTGAAGCAAAAAAGTTAATCAGCCATCATTAGTTATACAGGTGAAATTGGAATGGCTAATTAAAACAATTACATTATATCAAACAATGAAATCAGTTCATCAGTGACACATCATGAACTATAAGAATGATTCTGTCATGTTTCAATAAAGTTTTATTAAAATCAACTTTTGGTAGAATATTGTTTTATCATATCAGTTCTGTCACCCTGATGTAGAGACTGATAACAGGTTGCTAAATAAATACACATTGTTTATTTGTGAACATGTCTAGTGATCTGCTTTGTTTATTACAGAGGTAAAAAAATACACATATATAAGATGAGCAGGGCACTGCTGATGTTGATTCATGGGATGGGTGCATGTAAATTATATTGGGATACTGACAGATATAGAAATTCCAGTCCATGGTACTAATGATGGGTCTAATTAGAAAATCTTACAGGCAGAAAATGCTAAAACAGACATACCACCCAAGGGTCATGAATATGGTGAGACTCCTGTTTTAAAAAAAATAAAAAAAAATATTTCTATAATGTTCTACTTGTCAGGCCCACCAGAGTAAATCTAATTTCTACCAATTTTCCTCAAGAACTTGATATGTGAAAGCGTATGACTATGACAAGGGTGTGTTGGTGAAGCACTGGGTGGCCAGTGTCTGATAAGGGGGCATTGTTGCCGTAAAAGACATATAATCTTGGTGAACTTGCAAGCCTAGCTGATGCACAAAAGTTGACCGCTAATTGGTTGCCAATATAGACCATATTTATTTTCTTATTAAGTTAATTCTATTATGGGTACAGATCATACAAAAATAGTCTTCTGTTAAATTTATTTATACTTGCTGTGATTAATATAAAACATTCTGTTAAAATAGCAAAGATTATTATTTTTGAAAATTAAAAAGCAAAAGTGACAGTTGCAGGTTGTGTTTTTAAGCAAATGCATACTGCATGTGAAAGTAGAGTTGCACAGAGCACTTTCGACTTTAAGTTGACTATTTTATGATCAGCCAGTACAGAATAGATTTTGTATGCCTTCTAAGTCCACACACTTCAATTCCTCTGAACAGCACAGTAGGGTAAGAGAATGTTTAGAGTAATTAAACTAAAAATATATGTATTTTTTTTTAGTCAGTCTCAATGTCAGTACTCAGTGAGCATGGGTCAGGAGCTGCAGCTCCGTTAGCCCCTATGTTAATCCAGATTTGATTTCTACAAAATGTTGAAAAGAATGGGATTTAACATCAACCCCAAATTGAGTTGAGAGGGAGATAAAGTAAAAATGTAAAATAGTAACAATCAACTTTCATGGAGACGAAACAGAAAATAATCACATCAATACTTTCTTTATAGAAAGATGTCTGCTTCTACACAGTAATGTTGCAAATCTAAACGGACATAAATATACGAAGAATCACTGACTTCAAGTTCTTACCAAATTCCCATTTGCTAATTAGATGATTTACATTGATTTAATTTAATAAGCAGTGGAGTCAGTAACGGGTTATGTGTGTAAACATGAAAATTGTATTCTTTAGAAGCAAGAATGTATACTGTAAGTTTTTTGAACACATGAGAAATAATCGATCTTCACTCTAGTTTTCAAAGTTCCAGTCTTCTGGGTATATAGTTTGGTTGTCCTTGCTTGGCACCTTGTTGGATGGGAATATCTCCCCAAAATGATGTTCTATGTACATTGACACAGGGTAGAAGATCTCAAAATGAGCTAGCTAGCTACCCATCACCACCTTCATATGGTTTGCCAAGGCTTGCCAATAGACTGGATGTGTTCTTTAGCTTTCATTCTGAGGGCAGCTATGCTGGTATTTCTAGGGTCTATTTCTTCCATCTGATATTTGTCCAGAAAGTTGCTTCCGCATTGGTAAGGTGGAGGTGGTCCCATGGCTCCTAATGGTTGTAAGGCATGTCCCACTGGTGCAGTGTTCATGAAGGGGGGAGGTGTGTAACTGCCTGGTAGGCTTTGTGGGGTTGTAACAAACCCTGGGAGGCTTTGTAATGGGGTTGTGTTGGACATTGGTGATGTAAGCCAAGAGTCCAGTGGTAGACTGCTGCTGATTGCACTTAGGCCAGAGGACTGAGGGGATCTATTAAAGGAAAGGATGGGTGAATCTTGTAATTTCATCGAGGTCACCTCCAACTTCTCCTGCCTTCTCCATTTAGCTCTTCTGTTCTGAAACCACACCTGAATAACAAAAAAATAGATATGAGTCTCATTGAATCACAGGAATAGAAACAGACATGTATGTCTAATATAGTATAAGAGTACCAGAACTTTTCAACTGTAGACATGTTTTGTACTAGTAACTCCTAAATGCAGGTTTATTTGTGTGTTTTGGGTGTTTCCTTAGTAGCGTTTATTACTTAGATAAAACCAAAGGAAACTAGGCATGGATCATGATATCATTAATATAGGTATTAAAAATTAGGTCCAGATGTGCCTTCTCAAGATAACAGTTATCAAAAATCCACAAATTTGACACAAAGGGATATGACTAATGGTATTCTTAGATAGTCTCCACGATTGGTCCCAAATAGTCACTTCATAGAGATTTCGTGCTGGCTACGAAAATAAAAAAAATTACAGAGAACTGAAAGGGCTCACTTGACAATAGTCAATAGAGTAATGAAATGGCTCTTCACCAATCCAACCAGCGGTGTTAACCAGATGGCTGTGTTCTAAGATGAAAGCCGGCAAGTGCAATAGTGGAAAAATTGACAGGACAAAAACCTAGAAACTCCAGTCCTAATGAAGGGAAGAATTAATGATCTACATTCTTCCTTAGGGGAAAAAAGAGAAATTAGATAAGTATGAAGAATTAGCAGTAAACTCTCATGTGTTTCACCTGACACCGTGGATTTAGTAATTGCAAGAAGAATATAAAGGCTTTCAACTTTTGGCCAACTTTTCACTGAATTCCAAATTGACAACAAATTTGAGGGAGAGGAATCCCTTTTTATGGCAATTGCACAACAAACTTGCAAATAATAGGAATGAAGGATTCTCTGCTCTGCCATCTTAAATCCTAATAAACTTGAGGAAGCTGAGACATACACAGTAAGCATATTAATCATAAAACTGAAATGTCTTCTCAGGTTGCAAGTTGCAACAGTACCACAATGGCCTTGATTTCTTTTGTATGAATCAGCATCAGAAATAATTTTAATCTCTTACAAAAAAAACATTCTAATAATTTAACTACAAAAATGTCCATAGATGTTTATGGTGACTTCCACGGATAAATCATTTGAATAGTATTTGTGCCTCTAGATCGGGTCTAACTTGATCTAACTTTCTGGGCACCTCTATTCGAGATAGTGACACCAGTCAGAAAGCAATTTAACCCCTTAAGGACCAAACTTCTGGAATAAAAGGGAATCATGACATGTCACACATGTCATGTGTCCTTAAGGGGTTAAAGGGACACTATAGTCACCAGAACAACTACAGCTTATTGAATTTGTTCTGGTGAGTAGAATCATTACCTTCAGGCTTTTTGCTGTAAACACTGTCTTTTCAGAGAAAATGCAGTGTCTACATTACAGCCCAGGGATAACTTCACTGGCAACTCCTCAGATGGCTGTTACAGGTCCTTCCTGGGTCATGGCTGCCTAAAATGCAACCACACATTCAGTATATCCTCCCTCTGCATGCAGACTGAACTTTCCTCATAGAGATTCATTAATTCAATTCATCTCAGTGAGAAGATGCTGATTGGCCAGGGCTGTGTTTGAATCATGCTGGCTCTGCCCCTGATCTGCCTCCTTGTCAGTCTCAGCCAATCCTATGAAGAAGCATTGTGATTGGATCAGGCTATCACTTCTGATGATGTCAGCAGACTGCTTGTTTTTCTGAGGCAGACAGGGCAGAGCCAGCAGCTTCAGGCTTGAATACAGTAAGATATTTACTATATTTATGGAGGCATGAGGGGTCCAGGGGGGCTAGATGGTGATTTTAACACTATAGGGTAAAGAACACAAGTTTGTGTTCCTGACCCTATAGTGATCCTTTAAGAATAATTTTTAGTCTCTAAATCTATAACTTTACCCACAGCCAGCAGCTCATTGTATGTGGGGATGTTTAATTAGATCTTTATAACACTCAATATGACATTTTAATGGCCATCTGCTTGGAATTCGATTCACTGTGTGTGAGGGATTGGTAGTTACATTTTGATGAGCAACCCTTGTTAATAAGGGGATGTTCTTTAATTTTCCTTTGATTAATCACATTAACTGTTTGCTTGTTGGCTTGGGAAGCCAGTGAGACTATTAATTTATTCAGAAAACATTTCGAGATTTGTTTGGAAATGAATTCTTGCATTGGATACAATGTCATTTTCAGGGTTTTGACATGCTCGCTGGTTGAGCAGTGGTCCACGAAAGAATCTCTAGGGAGATATATTTACCTGAAACTCCTTGTCATTGGCTGCACCATCTTTGTGTTAGTTCTGTTTTAGACTCATAGAGTTTTCATCACTTCTGTACTGTCTGCCATGCATGCACAAAAGTGCAATACAGAGGTTTATGGAAGATTCCACAACACCATGGACTTTTCTGCACAATGTGTGAAAAAATAGCTTTTTCCAGCGCCGTTGCAACTTGCAAGTGGCTGATATTTATCATGTTTTGTCAAGCTTGAAAATTATCATAAGACAAAGTAGTCTGTACTTTGTCTTATGATATCCTTTGGTTGTGTCAGCATTTGTGTTGTAGTCCAACACTGTCATTATGAATTATTTAAATGATAAAATGATTCTGTTTTTGCAAAATACTTTCATGTGATAGAGTCCTATTGAGGGTTAATTTTGGTATTTTGCAACCAATGAGGGTCATTTCAGATAAGCCACATAATAAATTTAATTAATTTCTTCCAAAAGTCTGGGTCCACATTGCTCCAAACATATTTCCCCAAAAATGGCTCCTGCCATTTACAACTTTAGAAACTTTCTTTTGTAAATCAACAAAAAAACGAACAGGGTTAATCACCAAAGTGGGAATTCAAAGTCAATTTCAAATGTAAGGACAAAATAGCCGAACTGGATAAATTCGCTAAGTCAGGTATGCTTCTAGTTTGGCTACTTAGGTCTAAAATTTAACATTCACTTTAAATTCTCACTTCAGTAAATAATCCAGTAAAAGTCTTGGCTATACTCAGCCATCTGGTAAATGCACTCACCACCCTGTACATGATCAATTGTAAATACACACCCTGTACATGATCAATGGTAAATACACACCCTGTACATGATCAATGGTAAATAAATACCCAGCCTGTTTATGGGAAATACACAGACTGCATCTGTTAAATACACACTCTCCATATACTATACCACGACTCTGTATAAGGGAAACGAAACATACCCTGCATATAGTAAATATACACACTATATACAGTAAATATACATTCACTATATAGTAAATATACACACTATATACAGTAAATATACACTCTCTATACAGTAAATATACACACTATATATAGTAAATATACACTCACTATATAGTAAATATACACTCATCATATAGTAAATATATACACTGTATACAGTAAATATACACTCACTATACAGTAAATATACACACTATATACAGTAAATATACACTCACTATATAGTAAATATATACACTCTATATATAGTAAAAATACACACTATATACAGTAAATATACACACTATATATAGTAATTATACACTCTTAATACAGTAGTTACACTCACTATATAGTAAATATATACACTATATACAGTAAATATACACTCACTATATAGTAAATATATACACTGTATACAGTAAATATACACACTATATATACAGTAAATGTACACACTATATATAGTAAATATACACACTATATCAGGAAATATACACACTATATAGTAAATATACACACTATATACAGTAAATATACACACTATTTATAGTAAATATACACTCACTATATAGTAAATATATACACTATATATAGTAAATATACACTCTCTATATAGTAAATATACACACTATATACAGTAAATATACACACTATTTATAGTAAATATACACTCACTATATAGTAAATATATACACTATATATAGTAAATATACACTCTCTATATAGTAAATATACACACTATATACAGTAAATATACACACTATTTATAGTAAATATACACTCACTATATAGTAAATATATACACTATATATAGTAAATATACACTCTCTATATAGTAAATATAGTAAATATACACTCACTACACACTATGTATAGTAAATATACACACTATATACAGTAAATGTACACTCACTATGTATAGTAAATATACACTCTATATATGGTAAATATACACATTATACATAATATATATACACACACACTATATATAGTAAATATACACACTATATACAGTAAATGTACACACTATAAACAGTAAATGTACACTCACTATATAGTAAATGTTAACACTATATATAATAAATACACACACTATATATAGTAAATATACACTCTATATATAGTAAATATACACTCACTATATAGTAAATATACACACTACATACAGTAAATATACACTCACTATATAGTAAATATATACACTATATATAGTAAATATACACTCACTATTTAGTAAATATACACTCTATATATAGTAAATATACACACTATATACAGTAAATATACACACTATATAGTAAATATACACTCACTATATAGTAAATATACACTCTATATATAGTAACAATACACACTATATACAGTAAATATACACACTATATCTAGTAAATATACACTCACTATGTAGTAAATATACCCTCTATATACAGTAAATATACACACTATATACAGTAAATGTACACACTATATATAGTAAATATACACACTATATACAGGAAATATACACACTATATAGTAAATATACACACTATATAAAGTAAATATACACACTATATATAGTACATATACACTCAATATGTAGTAAATATACACTCTATATACAGTAAATATACACACTATATATAGTAAATATACACTCTATATATAGTAAATATACACACTATATACAGTAAATATACACTTACTATATAGTAAATATACACACTATATATAGTATATACACTCACTATGTAGTAAATATACACAATTTATATAGTAAATATACACACTATATACAGTAAATGTACACTCGCTATGTATAGTACATATACACACGATATAAAGTAAATATACACACGATATACAGTAAATGTACACTCACTATATAGTAAATATACACTCTATATATGGTAAATATACACACTATATATAGTATACACTCTATATATAGTAAATATACCCTCACTATATAGTAAATATACACACTATATATAGTAAATATACACTCTATATATAGTGAATATACACACTTTTTGTAGTAAGCATACATTCTATATATAAATATATACTCTCTATACAGTAAATATACACTCTATATATAGCAACTGTACACATTATATATAGTAAATATACACTCTATATATAGCAACTGTACACATTATATATAGTAAATATACACACTATATACAGTAACTGTACGCACTATATATAGTAAATATACACTCTATATACAGTATATAGATACACTATATAAGATAAACTAATCACAGCCTGCATGCATACTATAGATTCTCAATACTAGCCTATAGTAAATGCCCTCAATTTATATGGCAAATGCTAATGTTGTATCTGGCATATCCAAGTCCTAAAATAAATACACCCCCTCAATCTATACCCTGAGTATGGCAAATTGTCCCATCCCATATTGCCCAAAACGAATAATCCCCATAAATGTATATCTCAAGAAAATCCATACAGCACCAGACACAAACATGTGATAATCCAGTAATATTCAATAAATCACTATACAAGTACTCTCACACAGCACCTAGCAAGTGGCAACGGCAGTGATTTCTCACAAGCGAGACTAGACAATTAGCATTGCTTTAATTATTCCAATTAACAAAGTTCACCAATTTACAGCTTTATTTATTAAAGTGAGATTTCAAATCTAAGGCCAGAGAAGCCGAGCTGAAAACATTGCTGAATTTTGAAATTCACTTTGAATTCACTTTGAATGCTCACTTTAGTGGATAAACCAGTCAAACTGTTAATATCTATCTATCTATCTATCTATCTATCTATCTATCTATCTATCTATCTATCTATCTATCTATCTGTCTGTCTGTCTCTCTCTCTCTCTCTCTCTCTCTCTCTCTCTCTATCTGTCTGTCTGTCTATCTATCTCTCTCTCTCTCTCTCTCTCTCTCTCTCTCTATCTATCTATCTATGTCTGTCTGTCTGTCTGTCTCTCTATCAAACCGGTAACAATTACTAAATAAATATATAGCTACGTGAGACAACTCTATGAAACTTTATATCAACTAACAGCAAGGCGAGGTCTGGAGACATGAAATCTATTCTAAAATAGCCAAATCGTACAGGCGATTCTATATTTAATGTAACATTCATTTATTTTGCAAAATCAATATAAATCACCGTTTAGTGAATATACCCCATAGAATGCTGCGGACACCAACAGACCTGTATTAAAATATGCGGTATATACCGGTCTAAAGATATTGTAATATGTCATGTATTGTCATTAACCAATAGTGAAATAAACGGTTTGGTGGAAAGTCACAATGTAACATTGTTTTATTTTTGTATCTTCTAATGGTTTGTCCTGGATTAATGTGAGCACTATTTGTATTACCAGTACAGTATAATTATAGTGTCTAAATATTCACTAAGCTAATGTTAGTAAATATCAGGAGAAGTTAGAACATCCACAATGCTCAACGTTCTAATGGCAATCAGGATGTGCCTGGTGTCAGTCTGCCTGTTATCACGGCAATGCCTCTGAATTGGGACTGATCTGATGGACTTAATTTATGGATAATGTTATGACATAATGCATAGCATTACCCATCAGAATTGCTAGAATTAAGTGGTATCCTGTCTAGCAATGAATCGTATTCACTAAGCATCCATTTAAGGTGATTTGGCCAATTTACAAATAATGTGTTAAAATATTAGAATTGGGGGGGAAAAATTCTCCAAACCTGATGAGCGTCCTTATTTTGACTTTGGTTTTTCAAATCCAGGTATCTATTCATTGTGTGGTTAACAAATCACTTAGTAGTTTGATTGATTCTACATAATATAAGGCTATTCACTAATATCCACATTAAAAATGTAAGTTTAAATATCCAAGCTGTGGAAGTAGCTGAGATTGAAACATTTTTTTCTCAGCCTCAGCCAAACGGAGTAAGTAAAAAGAAAGTTGAACTGCCTGAATTTGGAAAAAGTCAAAGTATTTTAATTGTTATCTAACTCAACATTAAGGCTGGACTAAGAAACGAAAAAAATAATTAATAATAATCAAATCATATCTGAATTTGAGAATGTTCCCGTTTCAGCTACTTTAGTCCAGGAGTTTACAACTTAATTTCCAGTTTACTACAAGTCAGTGTTCAGTTATTAGATGTAATGCTGTCTTTCACATTTAGGAGAATAATTCAACAATATTAAATTAAATAAATAAAAAAAAATTAGTGTTTTTATTGCATTAACTTTCCACAATATCTGTAAATTATTCCTACATAACAATCTACAGCAAGATCGAAAATGAACCATCATGGAAAGTTATATATATAGTATTTATTTATTATTAATTATTATTATATATTATTAATATTATTTATTCCGTGTTAATGTTGTACATTGTACGTGGTTATTAAACATGCAATCGATCTCAGTTTGTTAATTCTAATGTCACTCCATGAATTAAACATTTGTATTATTTAAAACTTTAATTATGACTGTAGTTGGCGTTATTGTGTTATTCCTCATTTCCTTAATAATAATTGTAATTAGCTGGTGAGAAGGAAATATTTATAAATAAAGTAGTAGCAAAAAAGCCTCTCACTGAAGGGTAGGTCCCCTTATAATATACTGGGTGCATGCAAGCTCCCTCATTGAAGAATGGTCCCCTTATAATAAACTGGGTGCATGCAAGCTCCCTCATTGAAGAATGGTCCCCTTATAATAAACTGTGTGCATGCAAGCTCCCTCATTGAAGAATGGTCCCCTTATAATAAACTGTGTGCATGCAAGCTCCCTCATTGAAGAATGGTCCCCTTATAATAAACTGTGTGCATGCAAGCTCCCTCATTGAAGAATGATCCCCTTATAATAAACTGTGTGCATGCAAGCTCCCTCATTGAAGGGTGGGCCCTTATAATAAACTTGGTGCATGCAAGCTCCCTCATTGAAGAATGGTCCCCTTATAATAAACTGGGTGCATGCAAGCTCCCTCATTGAAGAATGGTCCCCTTATAATAAACTGGGTGCATGCAAGCTCCCTCATTGAAGAATGGTCCCCTTATAATAAACTGGGAGCATTGAAGAATTATCACCGTATAATAAATTGGGTGCAAGCAAGCTCCCTCATTGAAGGGTGGGCCCTTATAATAAACTTGGTGTACCCAAAACCTGTCATGAAAAGTTGTCTCCCTTACAATAAACCGTGTGCTCATTCGGAAAGACCCTTTGCTGAAGATATTACTGACCTGCACCCTCACTTCAGGGAGGTTGACTTTCATAGCCAGTTCTTCCCGGCTGTAGACATCAGGGTAATGGGACTTCTCGAAAGCTCTCTCCAGTTCATGGAGCTGGTAGGTGGTAAAGGTGGTCCGGTTTCTCCTATGCTTCTTCTTGGGCTGTTCATCATCAGAAAGTTTATTGGTATCACTGCTGTTAGAGGCCGATAGGCAGGGGCTCAGGCACTCACTGGACCCTTTGGTACAGTAGGAGTCTACAGAAAAGGAAACGCAATGTTTACATGAGAAGGGAACTTCCTTTAATGTGATGCCTTAACTGCAAAAGGAACCGCAAAGAGACTCATATTCGGCAGTTAACGGATTAAAGAATCTATTCAAAGTGAATTGTGCGGAAATTATAAATTCGCAACCTACCTGCTGGAGAAAAATTAAGTTGAATTAAATTAAATCTAAATTCTTCAATTCCCTACCCCCTGCCTAAAACATGTTATTTGTGAATCTATTAGAATCCTGATGATGTTCATAAATGTTTAGTTTAATCCTTGAAATAATGAATGAGCTGTAATACGACCATAGAGGTAGGTAAACTTTAATTCAATGAGATATCTCACTCCATGATCTGTCAGTCTATTTATCAGCATATTTATCTCAGTATACTCCTAAAAACTATTTTTTTACTGACATATTATCTGCAGTTATTTTTTTTTCTTTCCGATAATTGGATAAATACCCCTTATTAAAGTTAATCTGATCTCTGTCTGTCTATCTAGTTTCTAACAAAGTTCAGTTCTTACCCCCATAGCCATCATCATGTCTGTCCTCCAGATCACTCTGCTGGGGCTGTATCTCCTCTGACATTTTGTGCAGACAGTGCTTAGAAGTCCTAGTCTCTGCTTCCTTGCCATTCCTGAGACTGCCCTCTGTCTGGAATGGGCTCAGGACACTGTCCTCTTTAGAAAATCCCAAGATGGCTTCTATGCTGTGGAGTCTGGAAGTGTTTCCTCCTGGACTCCTGACCAAATGTCCAGAAAGAGAGAAGTTTCCATCTGCCATGAGGGAAGGACTGTGCAGGTGCATGGGTGGGGGGGTCCTTCTTCAATTTCAAATACTGGGTTAAAATCAATTCTTTCCTTGAAAGGAGGAGAAATTCAGCTAAAATATCATAGGTCCTTTGGGAACTGCAATTAGTCTTTACAATTAAAAAAGGAGAAAAAATGCTTCTGATCCCAGAGATATTTTTGTTTTCCAAGAAAAAAAAAGAAAGGTTTCTTAAATGTGGAATTTTAAATGACTTAGTGTGATCGTCTATCCCAGAGTGACAGACCCAGAACAAGCTGCAAATCTTCCTAAGGCAGGCTGATTCCTTTAAGCTGGCTGTATATCAGATCCTTCTGGATAGTTTATGGATGTCTGGCTGTCCTTGGAGTGGAGAGGATCATTTCTTTCTGACCTCTCTAGCAGCAGTGACTCAGCTCCAGCTTTGCTGAGATATTTTAAAGCAATTCCTGCCCTGTGTTCTTTGTGAGTATGTCAGCTGTCCCTGCTGTGCCCTCCAAAGCTGTCACATTATCATTAAATGAGGCTTTTTGTATGTTTTGGACAGTACCTGCAATGAGAAGATCTTTCCTATAATCCCTCCTCCTCAACCACAAAACTTGCTAGTTTGTCAGCAACAAGGACCAACAGCAATATTGTTTTAATCTTGTCCCCTCTCCACAAATTTAAAAAATAATTCACTATATTTCTGGAACATCACATTTTGCACTGTAGAAATATTTTGAGATGGGTCATAAATATTTTAACCTTTTCAGTGACAGAGGAGAAAGGCAATAAAACTCATTCTCGTGTACTATTCCATTCAACGTGTTCTTTTAAACTACAAGATTATAGACATTAACAGAGGCATATTAAATAATCTATTACATTTAAAATGTGTCCAAAAAAGTCTGACAGATGTCTGCAGGCAATTATTGAAAGTGTTTATAAATAATAAATAGGGTTTATTAACATAATCTGAATATTTTCCCCCATATGAAAAAGTAGAACACACAAAAGAGTATTTTTAAGTTTATTTTTATTTATTTATTTTATTTATTTATTTATTTATTTTTCCATCTTTTTTTTATAGTTTTGTAATTTAATATTAAATGTCAGGTTTTTTTTTTTGA